ATGGCCTCTCATAGAAGTCAGTTGGGGAACATTTCCCAAGGACCTGCTGTATGCCAGGCACAGTACTTGGCATGCTGGAGGGAGGAGGAGGGGTGCAAGTTGCTATTTTTTTCTCTCAAGGGCAACGTTTAAATTATTTAACCATTGCACTTATCAGTTTGAAAGATCCTGGCTAGAGCAGGCTCCTGGAGCCCCATAATGAGAGGGGGACATTAACCACTTAGTTGGTGAATGGTGAGGAAGTCTTGGGGCTCTAGGCAGTGGCCAAGTTAACAGAGAGGGCCACTCTAGGTACTCAGAGCTGCAATTCTTTACCAACTGGTCAGCAGGTATATTTAACCAGTTTAATAGCCGGTACTGGTGTGAGGGTGCAGGCTCACCGAATGTCCCCCGACCTGTTCTCAGACACTTGGCCCCAGGGTACAGGAAGGGAGGCCTCTGGCCTCTGAAATAATGTGAATTTAAAGATTGCCCTGACTGCCCCTGGCCAGTCACCCAGGGCCTGTGCTGTGTCCTGCCCTGGGGATTCCATTGGCAGCTTTGCTCTCAGAAACTGACAGGCTTGTGGCCGAGGAGTAGTCGTTGGCAGAGATACTGAGCCCTCACTGTGCGTTTGAAGACTTTCTGGGTCTCATGGAGGTTACATTGAGACCCCTTTTTCTTGGGAGCTGGGCAGACAGAAATCACCCAGAAAGCCCGTGGTGAGGCTGAGGACTAGGCGTCAGACAGGGATTAGCTCCTCCACCATTTCCATGGCCTCCCATTTCCTCCGTTAAAAACACATCTATGGAGACTTAGGTAGATGTAGTGGAGGAAGCAGGTAAAGATCTTAATGGACATGTTATTTTCTTAACTGGTTTTGAGAGTATCCTAACCCTTGGTTCTGGATGAGGCCAGCTTTGTGGACACGTGTCTATCTTAGGGCCTGATTAGCTGTCTCCTTTTCCCTGCCCAGCTCATACCAGGAAGAAGTGTCATTCCTGGTCCAGGCTGGGAGCTAAGGACAGACTGGTCTAATTCTTACCACAGCCTCTACCCCAGGAATAAGGTTGGCAGATCTTGAGCCAGGGGTTCTGGAGGTGCCCTCTGGGGATTTTCTTGGCTGGGATTTTGCTGAGGTAAGGGGCAGGAAGGGCTAATAGCTCCATATCAGCAGCTCCCCTGCCCCAAATCGACCAGCCCTGCTCTGCTGGCCCCTCTCCCTCTCCCTTCTGACCTGTGACTAACTTTGGGGAAAAGGATGAAGGCTGCTGAGTGTGTGCCCACACAGGAGCAGAAGGGATTGCAGTTCCAGATTGGCCCTTCTGTGGGACCTGCTGCCCCGCCCAAGGCCCCTCACAGCCACTGGCCTCCCCGGGAAAGGGTGGCAGCCGCCTGTTTAGTGCCACTGTTTTCATAAGCTAATGAGGGCAGAGTGTGAGCCACAGGCAATGATGCTGGATATTAACTGTGACAGGAAGCTTGATCATAATTATCTTAACGAGGATAGGGTTAATTACAGTGGAAACTTAAAAGTTCTCTCTGTTTGAATCTGCCGGAGCTGAATGCGTTGTGATGTTTTGTCATCTTGATATGACTTTGGAAGAGGCTCTGGGACCCTCCGGCAGCCGCGGCGGCTCCTGGGGGAGCCCAGCCAGGGCCCTGCACATGGGTTGCTGAGGTGGCACCTGTGGGTGAGACAATGGGCAGCTTTCCTGCTGGGGGAGCGGGAGGCACACAGCCTGCAAGGCGCTTCTGGGCATCTGATTAGATTTCTCAAGCAAACCACCTGCCACCCAAACCAGACCACACACTCTCCCTGTGCCCTCAGCGTCTCCTGACTGGGCTGGGAAGCTCTCTCTCCAGCTGGCTGTGCCCAGGTAGCAGCTAAAGCCTTGCCCTCCCCCTCCTGCCCCTTGCTAGGGCAGACAGATCTGCCTCTCCTTCCCAGCTCCCCGCCTCCCCCATTTCAGACATCAGCAGCCACTGCCAACTAAGCTGGTGAGTAACCCTGGAGTGACAGCCACCCCTTCCCCCAGGGTCTGGGGTACACTTTGCTGTCCACACACAGGGTTAGAGCAGAGAAATTACAGTGCTGCCATCTATCCCTTGTAGCTACCGTCACTGTCCCATGAAGCAGCATAGATCTGTGGCTCCTTGAAGCCCTGTAGCCTTGCCATTTTACGGAAGGGCACATATCTGTTTGCAGGCATCTTGTGTACAGGGGTATCAGCTCAATAATGGATGCAAATAATGTCTCCTTTCTGGAAAACAACAACAAAAGTAAAATTTTCAAAATGTAAAACATAAATCCATCTTCCCGGTGTTGGTTTAGTGGCCTCCACAGGCTAGCTGAACCCCGGAAGCCCCGTCCCCTCCAGTATTACCCTTCACCACACTCTCTGCCTCCTGCCCCAAATCCCTCAGCTCCGAATTCAGCTGATTAAATCACACCACACGGATGGCAGGAGGACCTGGGTTTATTAATCAGCATCATGGTTCCCTTTTAACTGAGCAGCTAATAACATTAAGTGGCAAAGGGAGTCTCAAAACCAGACAGGTGATGGGGGACTTGAGCCCGAGCCTCCAAACTCCTCACTGAAGCCTCACTCCGAAGCAGGTCTTGAGCTCTGCCCCGAGCCACCCGGAGAGAAGGCGGTCTCTGTGGGCACTCCCTCTAGTGTTCCCGGCTTTGTCCCTTGTCATGTGATGTCATTTTGTTTTATGCCTCCCCTGAAGGGAGCTTTTGGAAGGGAGCTTTCTTCTGCTTGCCAGTTGCCAACTGTTTGCGGATTCTCATGATCTGAGCATTATATTTGCATAACATAACTGGGGAACAATGTGCATTTGGATGCTGCCTCTGACCAGAGCCCAACCGATGTTGTGCACAAAGAACTTATTAGCCCTCCATAAGGCGCCCCCGCAGGAGGGAGGGAGGCGGCCTCAGCTTCCCTCCTGGTAAACAGCCTGGCTCTGAAAAGCGCTTGGGGATCATCACTCATTAACCCCACGGAGCAAGGGACTTCGGGAAGCGTGGAGTGCCCCTGCAGAGGCAGGACCTACTGCACGCCTTTGTGCATTGGTTGGTCTGCCCATCATCTGCATCCTCAACAGCCTCCCCCCACAAGTCAGGGCTTCCAGAAAAACCAGTGAATGAAAGGAGGAAGAGAAAAAGAAAAACATAACTTGTTAATCTTCTTTCACGTACTGTCCGTGAGATGTTATGAGCTGGAATCAACACAGAACAAGGCGCCTTGTTCAGGTGGCTATTGACGTGCCCAGGCCCACACTGTGAGGAAATAGGGAGTTGGCGTAACATTCCAGCCCGTCCTGACTGCAGGCGTGAGTCGTGTTTTCTCCCTGAAACGTGAGGCCCATGAGAAAGGAAGAGGAAGAAATGAGGCAGGATGACCCCACTGACCCTTGACCCAAAATGTGTTTGGTCTTGCCCTCCCTCCTGCATGGAGCAGGTAGTGTTTGGCTGCAGGAGGACACGTGGTCTGGGTGCTGGGTCCTGGGTGGGACCGCCCAGAGGGTCAGGCAGAGATGGGATCTGCTGGTGGAGCTCTGGGCCCAGTGAATTCTGGGGATTTAATTACCTCTTTGCAATGCATGTTACACCTCCCAAGCACTGGCTGTTCTGGAGTCCTCAGGGCGGGAATCCTTAGGGCGGAAATCCACTGGGAGATGTGGATGGCTGGAGATGGCCCTTGAGCTGAAGTTCGCACCTGCACCCTAGGTACAGGCGTTGCTCACACCAGCAGGCGGGTCTGTAATGTGCGTGCCACCAGGAGATGAATAAACAGTGCAGACAGCATCCCCCTGATTCGTCACATTTTGCAGAATCACCAGGAGATCCCATGCGCGTCTGCCCTCCGGTTGACGTTGCAGCTCAGCTGTCAGCCATGCAAGCTCAGCTCGGCTCTCGGGTCTGGCGGGTGACCAAGCTGGGAGCGTGTGTGTCTGTGTAAGTCCCTCACCTGCCCGGTGGCTTCTTTAATTAACGCCTGGGAGCGCCAGGGCCTGCACAGGCGGCAACAACCCCTCACCACCGCCGCCCCCAACATTCTAGAACCCACCTCCAGAGAACCTTTCAGCTAAGTGTATAAACAAGGATGTTTTTCCTTTTCTGATACTTCTCCCCCCAACCCCCAACCATACTGCCTCCACATCTACCTTGCTGGGCTCGACACTTCTTTCAGAAATAAAGTGAGGGATCCACTTTCCATACATTAAAACGGTAACTTCAAGCCAGGAGCATTGAAACAGAAATCCTCCCAACCCCTTCCCTACTCCTGCCCCCCAAACAAAAAGAAAGAGGGAAAGAAATCAAAGAAAGAAGCAGAAGCAGCCCCTCACACCGGAGGGATTATTGCTCCTCGGTGCCCTGCCCCTGGGACAGCCACAGGGACACTGGGCAGAAGCAAATTAAGTGATTAGTGAAGGAAAAAAGCAGAGGAGGAAAAAGTCACAGGCGGCGAGCGGAGAGAAAGGATGGCTTCCTCGCTGTTTCCTACCCCTGTGCCGAGGAGAACCGCTAAGAAATGATACTTGAAGTTATATTTATTATTGTAAGCGGGTCTGATATTTCTGGGCAGGAATGATGGATGACAACTTAAATTTGTGTCCAGGGAATGAAGGTGAACTGTGACAGAGTTATTTATCTTGGGAATGGAGGTTAGGGTCAGCCTAGGCTGGGTGCCTGCAGGCACAAGACATTGACAAATTTATCCTGCAGGCCGCATCTGAAGCCCTTTGTTTTGGATCCTGGCTACTCACTAAGTGACCCTCATCCTTCATGTTGGCAACGCGTGAAGGATGCGGTGAGTGCCAGCGGCCCCTTCTCCCCCGCCGCCCCCGCCCGGCTCCCGCTACTAATTCTTGTCATTCACTTTGCTGACAGGCACCAAGCCCAAACTATTCCCAGTCCTGAAAGGGAAGGTTAAAATATTTATTTCGGCTCATAATGGCCTCCCTGATTTAGTGCAGGATCATTTTTCCTGTTGCCTTTGTCATTGCAGGTCACTGGAAGGACTGAGCGCCTTCGGGAGCCTGGAGGAGCTCGTCTTGGACAACAATCTGCTGGGGAACGACCTCGTGTTGCCAGGGTTACCCAGGCTCCATACCTTAACCCTCAACAAGAACCAGATATCCTTGGCTCTGCTCGCTGCCCCCACTCCCTGCCCTGCCCCGCAGTGGTCCCCTCCCGCTCGCCAGCTCTCCTCCCCGGCCCCACACAAATACCTGCAAAATGTCAAATGAGTTTTATGTGTCAGCTAAATTAAAGCATGTGAAATACAGTCCATGGGCAGACAAAGCGTTCTGTCTCCTGGCACTCGGGACACTTCAGAGTAATTTATTATAGGTCATTCATAAATGAAATGCACCATTATATCTTCCTGTTGCTCCATTTTAGTGCAGAGATCTAAGTTATGGCTGTGAAGAAATCTTTTTAATAGATAAAAATAGAGAAAGAAAATAATGTCACTGCTGCCAAGGAGGCGAATCCTGGTTCTGTTTGCTTGGGCTTGTGTGGGAGGGCGACCTCTGGTGGAAAGTCGGGGATAATGCTGCTGAGCAAACTTGGCCTTCGCAGAGGATGCCGGAAGGCTCTCTTGGGCAGCAGTTGTGGTGAAGGCGACAGGGGGAGGGGCCAAGGTGGAGGATAAGTGTGAAGCCCAGGCCTAGCCTGTCTTTTATGGTGTTCATCACAGGAGGGTGATGAGAAAGGCCTGGGAGAGCCCAGCTGGTATATGGCCTCTTCTTAGGACTGCGAGGACCTAGCCAGCCTCAAAGGAGATTCAGAGGGACTGAGGGCTCTCGAGTCCACCGTGAGCTGAGAATGGAGTCAGAACCTTTCTGCAGCGGAGGGCACATGGCTCCGATGTTAGACTGCGGGTCTGTGCCATCATGACGCCAGCCCAGCGAGGCAGAGTGTGCTGTCAGTGCTGTTAACTCCTGGATGCGCATCTATTATAACTCCTGGCACAGAGTTGAGGGTCAGTAAATGTTGGTTAGATAAGTGAATGAATCATCATCATCATCATCATCATCATCATCACACAAGGTTCAACAGAATTACAATATGAGCAAGACCTTGCATTTCCAGCTCTGTGCCGTAGCTTTATATTTGCATATTAGCTTGGGACAAATGTAGGTTTACAGTTGTGAGTACGTGAAACACAGTTTATTCTTCTATTATTTTCCATTCAAACAGCTGTACACCTACTTTTGCCTCTCA